CTTTGCCCTCAAAGTGTTTTAGTATCTTTTCTTCTGGCTTTTTTGAGATATAAAGTACACTGTCATTGTCTATAGTCAGCTTATTGGGCTGCGACATACCAGAACTTCTTTCTCAAGTTAACTGTAACCAGAACCCCACTGACCAACCTTCTCTGTCCTTCCTTCCACCCTACTCAGGTATCTACTATTCTACTCTCAACTTCTTACTTTTTAAATCATATTGTTGTACTGGGGGGTACATTTGTGACATTTACAAAAGTTCTTACAATATAGCATAGTTGAATTCACCCCTCCATCATTCTTTATCCCCTCTCCCCCATTCCTGGAATAGTTTCAACAGGTCTCATTTTTCCATTTTCATACATGAGTACATAATATCTCCACCATATTCTCCTCCCACACCCTTTCCTTATATCCTCCTCCTCCCACTGTTACCAACCCCCAGGCATGACCTGTTTTACCCTCCTGTTCTCTATTTTTGAAAAAAGACATTTTTGTTTGTTTAAGATATCTATACAGGGAGTTTCCTTGTGACATTTCCATGTATATATGTGTTATAACCCAAACTGGTTCATCTCATCTATTTTTCTCCTTTCTACCCTAGTCCCCTTCTTATGGTGATTTCAGCAGGTTTAAGAATTCTATATTCATTCCTGTATAGAAAGTACATCAACCATATCTTATTATGTTAATTTGTATTTGCCCTTCTGGCTATCTCTGCTTGATGCCTCTAAAAGTTGGGATGAGGGCACTTATGCAGCACAGCTGGGCCCTGTCTATAGGACTGAGATGGCCTGAGAGTCCCAGGTAGGCCTGTAGGAAAAGAGCCTTCCTTAGATATTTACATTCAGGGTGTTGTGTAGGGGTTGGGGAGAGGAAGGTGGCAATGGAACTGTGCTTCTGTTCTCAGAGGGAGGAGGGGCAGAAGCTGCCTGGAGTCCCTCCACAGAGATGGGAAATGGGAGGCTTGGGTCCTCCCCATGAAGGGCACCAGGGAGAGATGCAAGGAGATCCTGAGGAGCAAATGCTCTGGGGCTGCTGAAGCCAGCTCCTTGGATTGGAGGGGGTGTCTTCAGAGCTGCAGGGCTTCTGGGGCTTCAAGAAGACAGGGTAATGTAAATTAGTACAACCATTATGAAAAAAAAAAAAAGAGTAAGAGGATGTGGGTTTTCATGTAACCAGGCCACAGGGTGGTGGGTGATGGAAGTGTGCAAGAGGCCTGACTCCACGCCACACAGAACTTGAGTGTGGTGCAAGGTTGGTGGACCTCTGGAGTCATGTTGCATTTCTTCCTGCCTTCCTTCCTTCCTTCCTTCCTTCCTTCCTTCCTTCCTTCCTTCCTCTTCTCTCTCTCTCCCCTCTCTCTTCTCTCTCTCTCTCTTGCAGTACTGGGGTTTGAACTCAGGGCCTGTACCAGCCCTTTTTTATGGTAGGTTTTTTTCAAGATAGGGTCTCATAAATTATTTGCCTAGGCTGGCTTCAAACTGCGATCCTCCTGAATAGCTAGGATTACAGGCGTGAGCCACAGGCACTCAGCTCTTGTTGCATTTCTTGTGTCTGCTTCCAATGGGGAGCTGCTTGCCTGGCAACGGCAGGTGGGATCCAGCCCTCCACCATGTGGGGCTCATGCTATAGACCTTTAAGCCTGGTAGGCATCACCCCAAAGGAGTTCCCCCACCTTGGTGGGTGGACCACAGGAGCAGCCTGGCCTCCCTAGGGCTCTCCCCAGCTTTGCCCCCTTCACATGCCTTCCCTCCATCATCCTCCAGAAGAGACTCCAGAAGAGACCCCAGAAGAGACCATGAGATCACTCAGGAGGCTTTGGACTCTCTTGGCTTTACAAAAGAACTCCTAGGATCTCTCTCCCTTCTGCATGTGGGGTCATGTCACTCAGAGGCAACTGCACCCAATGAGCTTCCTTTGAGGCGCCTGCTGGAAAGCTGCCTTAAAGCCCCCCAGAAACTACAGGCTGGACAAACCCCTCAGGCATGTAACTCGGCACTGTCAGTAGAAATGAGAGCTAGAAATGCAAGCCATGTACAGAACTCAAAATGTTTAGTAGGCACATCCAAAAAGCAAAAAAGAAATAGGTTAATAATTTTAAAACTATTTTAATATAACCCAATAGATCCCAAAATACTGTCATTTCAATGTATAATCAAATATAAATTATTAATTGAGATATTTTACATTCTCTTTTGCACGAAATCTTCAAAATGTAGAGTGCTTTTTACACTTGCAGAACATCTCACTTCACTCTTGCCACGTTTCACATGCTCAGTAGCCGTCAGTGGCCACCACACTGATAGCACAAACTGGACTCATGCCCTCTGTCCCCATCTGGGTTTCTTTCTCTGTCTCTGTCTCTCTCTCTCTCTTTTTCTCTTTCTGTCACACAAATCACACACAATACACCACACATAACACACACACATATGCACACATCTGCACACCTGACCTTACTTTATCCCTGAACTAACACTAATAATGCAGGATATTTTGGTGTGAAAAGATAATTTGTTATGACTTGCATACTAATAAGAAAGATTTTACTTATTTGTTATTTTTTCCCCACTGCTGGAGTTTGAACTCAGGGCCTTGTGCTTGCCAGGGTGGTACTCTTATCACTTGAGCACTCCCAGACCTTTTCACTTTAGTTATTTTTTGGGATAGGGTCTTGAATTTAGCCTAGGCCAGCCTGGATTGCTATCTTCCTATTTATCTTTCCCTTGTAGCTAGGATGACCTGCATGGGCCACTATGCCCAGCTATGGATAGAAATGGGGATCTCGCTAACTTTTTGCCTAGGTTAACCTTGAACTATGATCTTCCTGATCTCTGCCTCCTGAGACACTGGGATTGCAGGTGTGCCACCATGCCCAACTTATTTGTTAATCATGAGGGAACCAATGAGATGTTACAGTTGGTTCAGAAGCAAATGCAAGCCGGGCGCCAGTGGTTCAAAGCCAGCCCGGGCAAATAGTTTGTGAGATCTTATCTTCAAAAAACCCACAAAAAAAAAAAAAAAAGAAACACAAAAAAAGAGGCAAATGCAAAGAGCACCCCCACTTGTGTAGATAGTGGGGAATGTTCAGATGAATCTGGTTAACAGGTGCAGGACTGGCTTCTTTCACAAAGCAGATGGGAACATCAACTGGCTTCCACTGGACACTTATTCGCATTCTGTGGACAGTAGTTATTGTCTTGCTGCTAGTTTTCTACAACCTTCAGAGCTGTGTAATCACTCAAGGATGATGAAATGTGCAGAGACCTTATTTAATAGTCAGACACCTATCTTTGAGGCAGGGTCTCACTGTGTAACCCCAGGCTGGCCTCAAATTCACGATTCTGCTGCTTCTGTCTCCCAAGTGCTGGGATTACAGGCATCAACCACCATGCCCAGCCACCCATAATCTTTTTTTGTCCATTTCAGTCTTCCACAATTTCCATTCTATAGACACAGATTGCAAACTTATCTCTCACTCTGTGAAACAAGCAAGACCTGCCATAGGATCAGGACAGGTCCCTGTACTCAGCTTGTCCCTCTCAGGGTGCTTGGCAGGGTGGGCTGGGCTGCTTTCTGGATTGAAACAACAGGCAGGTTTATGACTTTCATGACCAATTCTCAGAAATGCAAACTGCTGTGAGTACTTCAAAACTCAAGACTCCTCTTAGTAGTGCTATTTCCAACTCCCTGACAAAAATCAGCACTGAACCACTCTCTATGTGAAAGGAATGGTGGGCAGCTCATTCTTTTTCTTACTTACCTCCTCTCCCCTCCCAACAGGGAAGGAAAGGTGCAGGGAGCTGCTACCTAGCTCTGGGCTGGCCAATCTGTCACTGCCTCTCTGTCTCTCTCTGTCTGCTTTTCCCTTGCATGTTTTGGGGTCACCCATTCCCTGTAGTCCTTGGTTCCTACAGATGAGGTGGGAGATGGGGACAACTCAAAACTCTGCTGGAAGCCAGGCACTGGTGGCTCACACCTGCAATCCTAGCTATTTGGGAGGCCGAGATGAGGAGGATCATGTTTAGAGGCCAGTCCAGACCAAAAAAAATTTGCAACACTCCATATCAACAGAGAAAAGCTGGGCAAGGTAGTGCATACCTGTCATCCCAGCAGTGTAAAATAACAGGATTGTGGTCCAGGCTGGCCTGGGCAAAAAAGTGAGACCCTTCTCCAAAATAACCACAGCAAAAAAAGGCTGGGGCGTGGCTCAAGTGAGAGAGCCTGCCTAGCAAGTGCAAAGCCCTGAGTTCAAACCCCAGCACCACCAAAAAAAAGGAAAGTTCTGTTGGAGCAGTCCCCTCCCCCCTCTCCAGCTGTATGATCCTGTTACACTACCTTATAGGAAGGGCTCACAAGGCAAGGGCCAGTTTCTGGTATTTTCTTTGCATGCATTTCTGGCCCTGCCTCCCTCAGGTGTTCCATTTCCCACAATGTCATCTTCCTCACTTGCATTTTGTGTGTGTGTGTGTGTGTGTGTGTGTGTGTGTGTGTGTGTGTGATTGTGTGTATTGAACCAAGGGCCTCTTTATACATGCTAGGCAAGCGCTTTACCACAGGGCCCACCTGAGCCGGAGTGCCAAGAGGGGAGTGGGCAGTGGGTCAGTCTATATAGCTGTTGGGCAGAGTATGCAAGGGGCCTCTTTTCTGCACAGCTTCCAGGACCTGGTGGTGCCTACCTTGTGGCTTGTCCCTGGCTTCCTGGAGGTGGGTTCAAATCCCATTTCCTTTCCAGGAGTTCGGCTGTGGGCAAGATGCTCATCGCTCTGGGCCTCAGTGTTGTCATCTATAAACTGGGCATGATTGTGGCTTCTACTTCCCTTGTTGGTGCAGAGTGAATTGAAGTGAGCTGGGGCGTGTGGTGGTCTTTCTGGCAATGAGGCCTGCACTGGCCCCTGGGACCCTTCTTAGCTGGTTCCCACCCCATCTGTCACAGACAAGCCAACACCACAGTTCTAATTCAGCAACACTTTATTGAGGTCCCCCCTGCCAGCATCCTATTCCTCTTTCTCATCCCCATGAGTGATGATGTAGCACAGGGACTTGTAGTCAATGTTGCCTGCCAGGTCCATGGGTGTCAGGGCAAACATCTGTTCCACCTGCAGGGGGTATCACCAGACAGAGGCATGGCCTGAGAAGCCCTGTGACCCTTCACCCTGCCCTTGGAACTGGGCTTTGGGGCCTCAGTCTTTTCAACCCCAAACCCAAAACTCTTTTTCCATTGGCTGACATTGGGCCCCGCCGCTCGTCGCCATCAACGAACCCCCATCCCCGCCCCCTGACCACCGCGCCCGCCCCACCAGACTCACACCCTCCGCCCACGCCTCCCGCCAAACACCCCCCAAACATGCGGCCCCGCTATAGGCCCCCCTCTCACCAACCTACCCCAGAGCACTCGCGCGGCGCACTCACCCAAAGCATACTGCTGCGGCCGCCCTGCGGGTGACTCACCGTGCTCACCCACCAGCCCCCCAAACATCGTTCCACCTGCAGGGGTATCACCACGACAGGGATGGCCTGAAGAAGCCCTGTGACCCTTCACCCTGCCCTTGGAACTGGGCTTTGGGGCCTCAGTCTTTTCAACCCCAAACCCAAAACTCTTTTTCCATTGGCTGACATTGGGCAAACTGAGCAGTGTGCCCAAATGGGGGCCAGGTGTCAAAGGGCCCACCCTGGTTACAGGAATGGGCCCGCTCTGACTCCACGTCTACCCCTTCAGGTCTCATAGGGATGGCACCTCCTTCAGAAAATTCCCATCACCCTCTCAGCCTGTACCACACCAGGGCTGGGCTCTGAACCCTTGTGTCATGAGGCCTCCCAGTTCCCTGCTGGATACCTGGGAACAGGTTTGCACAGGTCACGGGGCATCCTCACCTTCAGCTGGAGAGAACTTGTCTGCCTGGGTCAGGAGAAGTTGCTTGAACCTGAGGGAGTGGGAAGGGCTGAGCCAGGAGGGACGGTGGCCATAGCTTAAGGAAAGGCTGGCCACCCGCCAAAGTACAGAGAAGGCCTGAGGTTCAGGTAGCCCCCTGCACAAGCTGCCCCCGCCCCCATCCTCTCTGTCTGCCCACGGTGACCCTCATGGGGAGTGAGGGCATTCACACTTACTCATCCTTGTTCACCACTCCTTGACCACTGGGGTCAAACATTCGGAAGGCACTCAGGATGGCTTCCTCCGGGTCTGTCCCTGGAAGCCACAGCAGCCAAGTGATCACTCATATCTCCAGCCCCCATGCCCCACCCAGGGGGAACCCAGAGTGTGGGAATTCTCCATGTCCCAGAGAAGGGGATCAGAGGGTCTGGGAGTGGCTGTTTTCCTGAGGTGGGTTGGCCTTGCTGGGAGACTGAGATTTGGAAATCAGGACATTTCCTGACCCTGAATCAGCATTAGGGTGATCAGGGCCCAGCATGCTGTGGGGTGTACCCCACACTCTTTGGGTGGGCCACGGCCAGGCAGCACCCAGACAAGGTTCAGGCAGTTTCAGGTGGGTTTCGGTGGGTCTCACATGGGGCTCATGAGGCTTCCAACAGAATTCTGGCTCACTGTCCAGGCTCACCATTGAGCTTTTCTCCGAAGAGCGTGAGGAAGACGGTGAAGTTGATGGGGCCCTTCCCCTCCTGCAGCATGGCATCCAGCTCCTCATCTGGGACACTCACCTTCCCTGTGACAGGGGAGCCTGAGATGAACAGAGGGCCCCTGGGTGCGCCCTCCTTGGCTTTCCAGTGAGACTGGGGGAGGGAGGTGTGAGGAGACCAGAGGAGTGAGAAGAGGGGCAGGGTGCTGTTCTCAATCTGAGCAGAGTCCCTGGGGAGGGCAGGGTGGGCCAGGTGGGAGGTGAACACACATACCCAGCTGCGAGTAAGTCTCCCTCAGGTCCGACTTGCAGATGACACCGTCTCGGTTCTGGTCAATGCAGCTGAAGGCCTGTGAGGAAGCAGGACCTCAGGAGGACACTCCCCTCCCCACCACCCCCGCCCTAGGGAAGGCAGGAGAGGGGAGATCCCTGTGTGGTGTGAAGAACAAAGGCAGGGTCATCAACCACAGAGAAGAGGGTTCCAATGGAGTGGGAGGCTGTTGGGGGTGGGGCACTCACTTCCTTGAACTCCTGGATCTGGGCTTGTTCAAACATAGAAAAGACATTGGAAGAGCCCCGTTGAGCCTGCTTGGTGGCTGTGGCCTTGCCCCGGGTCCCTGCCTTTCTGCTGGCCTGCAACATCATAAGAGAGAGGGGTCCTCTCCCTAGATTAGAGCACTCTGCCCAGCCTCAGAGCACTCCCAAGAGAGCCAGGGTGAGGGTTCTCTCTCCACCTCTGGAGACTACCTCGTTGTACCCAAAGCAGGCACAGAAGGCCCTGGCTCTGTCCCTTCCCAGCCCAAAGGCCAGTCCCTACTGGCCTCTCATTTCTCATCAGGCACTCACCATCCTATCTGCAGTGGTCAGGCTGCATCCTCGAGCTGCCAGTTCCCCTTTATGTCTCATCCTTATCACCTGGCACTCCAAATAAGGACAGGAACAGAGGACAGGGCCAAACTTGGCAGTGCCTGACTGGGATAGGGGAGAACAAGGGCCCCAAGCAGATTCCAGACACATTCCTGGTGGTCTTCCTGTCCCTGAAGTGTAACAACCCAGGATCCAGCCATCTTGCATTGGCCAGGTACCACGTCTCCCCAGAGCAGAGAGACTCAAAGCTCTTAGCATGCTAGGTGCTGACAAAGGGTCTCTGTTACTCCTCGTCTGATTGTCCCTCCTACAGGTCCAGGCCAGACCCTGGCCAGTACAGTTCTGACCCTCCTGGTTTAGGAGACTGTTTTTGAGGATGCAATCTGGGGCTAGAAGCATGGCTCAAGTGGGAGAGCACTTGACCAGCAAGTGCAAGGTCCTGAATTCAATCCCTAGTAACACCAAAAAAAAAGGTATGTATCAAACTGAGGATGATGCCCAGATTTGCACAGGTTTTGGTGAACAGCCTTGGCTTTGGGCTCTTCTCCTGCTGACCAAGGGTTAGAGGGAACCTGAGATGGCTGTGAGCCTTGCAAAATGTTTTGTTTGGCTTTGGGGCAATTCTTGGTGGGAGGCCAGGAGTGTGTGTGTGTGTGTGTGTGTGTGTGTTGTGTGTAAAAAGATCCATCCACAGCTTTCCTGGCCTCTGTCCCTTTGCCTGCTGTGCTGGGACACTCCCATCTCCTGTATTGGGAGTTTTGCTATCTTGAAAGCCCCATTTCAACCCCACCTCCTTCACAAACTTCTCTTTGGGCTGCCTGGTCAACATCTGTACCCAGAGGTCCTGGCATATAGCCATTTTGCATGATGCTTTTGGAGAATGAAGCCTCCCCTGGGCTCAGAAGAAAATGTGTTACAGGGCCCCTAGGGTGGTGCTGAGTGTGGATTGAGAGGCCTGGGTGCCCTCTGCTGTTCTAGAGCAGCAACCCTGCCAGCGTGAGGGCCCTGGTGCTGCAGAGGAGCTAAGGAATGTGGAGTGAGTGGCCCCCTGGCAGAACCCGCTGTCTACCTTCACCCCAGTCCAGCTATGCCAGGCCCAATCTATCAGCAGTCTCACCCATCAGATCCAAGGCTCCCTTTTGTACATTTTATAACACCTCCTTTACTGTCTAGAGATGAAATTTATTTGATTTATTTCACTTCAGATGTGTGATCTACCTATACAGACCCTTAAAAAATCAATGCCTTAAACTATAATATGAAAGAGAAGTGAAAAGCCATTTATATTAAAATCTTTCCATATATATATATTTGTAAATGTTCAAACATGAGCACAAGTTAGTCCAAAATCACAACTTTGGATTCTGTTCTGTTTTTGTTCATTTGTTTTGTGCATTTTTGGTGGTGCTGGGGTTTGAACTCAGGACCTCGTGTTTGTTAGGCAGGTGTTCTACACTTGAGCCACTGTCAGCCCCTGGGCTATGTTCTGAATGAAGCAAAGAATAACTGTCTGATTTGCTGGGTTATTTCACTAAGAAGTGAGCACACATTCAGATCATATGCATTTATATATGGCTGTGTTTATGCTACATAAAGGTGGCATTAGCCCTTATTATTAGGCTTGCTATTTCACTGACAGGAGCCTCTGAAGGGACATTAGAAATTGTATCCCTAGCCTCCACTGAGGGGACAGGATCCTGCTGAGATCAACCTGCAGCAGAACCAGTTCTCCCCCACCCCCCAGCTAACTTGGTAATCCTTCCCTGCATGTGGCACACATCCCATGGCCAGGGAGGGGCCTGGGCCCAGCAGTGTGCTGTCCAGTGTCTCTAGTTCCCCCATATCACTCCATCCTCATTTATGCAGCCTAGTGTGTCACTCTTCACACTCCTCTGGGTATAGATGGCTGGAGGGGACAGTAAATTCCAAAATACATCCTGGTCTCCAAAAGCATCTGTGTGCACACAAAAATGTCTGTTTTTATATCCTCTCCACGATCCTTATGCACAGACATGAAAGAACGGTGGACAGCCCATGTTCAAATCTTTTAAAATATTTAATTAAAAACCCCACACAGTCCCAAGTTAGGTATAGGAGCGTGGTGTGGCACACAGGAAAGCCTGATAAAGATGACAGTGGGGGCCTGAGTGGTCCCTTGGAGGTGTGATTGGTGCTGTTGGGTGTTTCTTCCTGGACCAGTGATGTGAGAGCTGAAGACACCATTCTGCCTGGGGGTGGGGGTGTGCTCCTAATGGTGCAAGGTGAGCCTCCTCCCTTTTGTGGGCCCTTTGTGGCAGGGGCTTGGAGGCTGTGTCCTCCCAAGTCTCCTAGGAGGGTCCATCTCAGAATCATAAGCCATTTTGGTGGGAGTATGCGAAGGAAAGAACCTGGGAGGGAGGGGCGCTTGTGGCCGCGGAAGACCCCCTCTGTGCAACTGGCCCTTCTCCCATGCCAACTGGGCCTCTCGAGCCCCTGGCAAGTAAAAACAAAAACAAAAACAAAACAAAACAAAAAACTAAGCCTGGATGACCAGCAGCCCTCACTGTCCTGTGGGCTCAGGACTGGTCTGGCCAAGCTGCTGGAGCTGCCTCCCCGTGCAGGTGAGTTCTCAGGAAAGCCAGGCCACAGTAGGGTCCACAGGGCACTCCCTTGTTGGGAAGGGGAGGGTGGCAAGCCAGGCCCACAGCTGTGAGAGACAGGTAGTGTACAAATGTAGCAACATCCTGAGTGAGCAACTCCCTTCTGGGTAGTTGATTCCAGCAAGTAACCTGAGAGGCTTTGGAGTCTCTGCTCCTGCCCCTGCCCAGTCAGGGCCCTGGGTCTGTCCCACCGTCTGACTCTGCTGAGGCCTTCTTAGCTCCCAGGGGCGTCTCCCCATCTTCCAGGGATGGCAATGGGATGGGAGGCCTCCTGCCTCAGGCGGCTAGGAGCACTTGTGTGTGGGGAGCGAAATCCCCATAGAGCCCAGGTCTCTGTCCTTGTGGCCTGACGCTCACTGTCCCAGCATACAGGCCTTCTTGCAGGCCACCGCAGAGACCAGCGCCGCACCCCGGCCACTGCCCTCCTCTGACTCGATGAAGGAGATCTCGCAGCTGGGCGTCAGTCTGCGCACGCTGGCGTGAAACCGCTCCTTGAAGCTGAAGAAGAGGACACGGCTGCCATCTCTCTCCCCACCCTCCACACCTCACCACCCCTCCCCCTGGCAGCATCCAGGCCCAGGGGTAGCTGGCGCAGGAGAGGCTTCCCAGGGCAGCGGGGCTCACCTAGGGTGCAGCTTGTAGACGGAGCCGTCCACTCCCACGGTGATGCGCATCACGTCCTCGCTGCGGCTCTGGCGCATGCGGTTGATGACGCCCGCCAGCCCGGCCGAGCACATGTGCGCGGCGCGCGTGGACACGCTCTCGCAGGCGCGACGCACGATGTCGCAGTCGGTGGCCGAGGGCCGCAGCCCCAATGTGCTAAGGATGTTGTAGATCTGCTTGCGGTCACCTGAGTCGCTGCAGGGCAGGACAAGGGAGGGCGGTCACGGAGGGGAATCCCTCCCTCCCCCGGGCCAAGCCGTTGTCTCTTCCTGGAGAAGTGGGGACGGCCCTACCCACCTCACCTGGCCTAAGCGTATGGACAAGTTTGAGCTCCAGAGGGGAATAGAGAGGGTTCTGCCAGGGACCCTCAGTCACCTGATCAGGACTGCTGACCAATCCTGACGTGGGGGCGACAACAATGTCGCACTTGGGCTGTTGGGTGGGTGAAGTGAGATGATGTCTCCAGCAAGTGGGCAGCCACGGGGAAAGGACCAGTGTACTGGGACAGCTGACGTCGGGGACTCCGCCCCCAGTCTCCCGTTCCCCCCAGGTTCCCTGGCCTGATACTCTGCGTCCCCTAGAACCCTGCCTCAAGTCCTTCTGTGCCTCCGCCCCCTGCCCTTTACGTCACCGGCCCCGCCCTTCCGACATGCCTAGGACTCGCTCCTGAGTCCGCCCCTGACCTTGCGTCATCGACTCCCCCGCCCTATGTACCTGCCCCCTGAGACTCAGCCCGGCCCTGCCCACTGAGCCCGGCCCTGCCCTTGCGTCATCGGCCCCGCCCCGATCCCCCTTGCGATCACCCTCCCGAACCCGTCCCCTAAGTCCGCCCCTTCCCTTGCGTCACTGACCCGCCTATTTCCCCGCCCCCTGAGCCCGCTCCTGCCCTGCGTCATCGGCCCCGCTCCCTGAGACACGTACCCTATCCCCGCCCCCTGCGACACGCCCAGGACCCGCCTCTGAGACCGCCCCTGCTCTTGCGCCATCGACCCCCGCCCATGTCCCCGCCCCATGAGACTCACCACCCCGGACCCGCCCACTGAGCCCGCCTCTGCCCTTGCGTCACCGTCCCCGCCCCCTACGACCTGCCCCACCCCGCTCCCTGAGCCTGCCCCTGCCTTTGCGTCGATCCCACTCCTATCTCCTTCCCCTGCGATCACCCTCCCGCCCCCGCCCCCTGAGCCCGCCTCTGCCATTGCGTCATCGGCCCCGCCCCTTCAGCTCACCTCTCCACCTGAGACACGAAGCGCGTCTCGAAGGCGCCGCGTGTGCGCAGCTGCTCCGAGGCCTCCCCGTGGAACAGCAGGTTCTCGTCCACCAGCTTGAGCAGCACGAGCCGTACCAGCTCGCCCATGTACTTCCCGCCAATGAGCTTTTCGTACCTGACTTTAGTTCTCCCACACAATGTGAGGGACGTCACAGCCTGGCACATTCTTGTTTGATCTGTGAGCTCCTATATTTTCATCTTGATATGCTTTTAATACTAATGACCTCATAGAGGTCTGTAAACGTCTGAAATGGAGCTCAGGAAGCAATAGTTAGCATGGGTCTGGCACCAACTGGGTGGCCAACTGGTGGCCATGATTAATGACAAGCTCTGTGTATTCTGCAACCTCCAGCATCCCACAAAATACTAATATTCATTCTGTGAATAGGGAGAAATCCGTGCTTTGGGGAACTCTGGGTTGAACCCAGTAAACCTTGATAAGGGACCTCTCAGAGGTCTCAGCCTTCTCTGGGTCCCAGCTCAACTGTGGGAAGCAGAGAGGTGAGGCCTTATCTACCATGATTACACCTTCACACCTCACTGTTCTGGGTTCACAGGGGCAGCTCTGACTGAGGTGAACAAAGAGATTCCAGAGGGATGGTCGGGTTGCTTTTTCCCAGAGCTGCTTAAAAACAAGCCATGCTCTCCAGTGGCAGGGCTTCTCTCGTCTGCTGCTGGACAGGGGTGGGGAGAGGCAGGTGTTGGTGTCCTTACAGCTGCTGACCGGGGTTCACGGAGCTCTCGTCCACCATGCGGTCATACTCCAGCAGGAACTCATCCAGCTCACCCGAGTCCCCGAAGGCACCCCATTCAGTGTTGACACACATACGTCCCTCGTCCCCTTCTACCAGCTCCACGTTCTGCATCTCTTCCATGTAGCATGCATTGCAGCCGGTGCCTGCAGGAAGGGGGTACATTAGGCAACAAGAACTTTGGAGTGTGGAGGGGACTGGAGGGCCTGGGCTGGCTGTGTGACTCAGGACACCAGTCCGGATGGGCCACTCTCTGGCTGTCCTTTTCTAAAAGGCAATGGTATCACCTTCCCCACCTGTTACCTGGGTGGTTGGGAGGATGGAAAAAAACAGGGTGTGCCAGCGTGCTTTGCTTAGAGATGGACGTGGGATCCTATGGTTTTACCTTGTCTGTGCTCCGCTCATGTTTTCTGGCACTTCCCATGAAAGCCCTCTTTCCTAAGTCCTGTTTGGAGGCACCACGTGGGCCCTTGGAACAGCTCTGAGGCCTCTGCAGGCAGGATTGGCTGCAGAGTTTGTCTTGTGCCCTGCTCTGTGCAAAGTGAAAATGTGGAGTCCTTTGGTCATAATGTGATGGGAGCAAAGGTGAAGGGGGCAAACAGCAGAAGTGACCCTGGGAATAAATGGCAGAAGTGGCCCTGGGAATAAACGGCAGAAGTGACCCTGGGAATGTACAGGGAACAGATGGCAGAAGTCACTTTGTCTTAGATAAAGGAGACGGGAAGACATCCTTAAAAGCAGACATCTAGGAGACATGAACAGTGGGCTTCTCACCCAGTTAATAAAGTACAGAGGTCTTTCTCCTAGATAAGGGAGACAGAGAAGCATCTTTAAAGACAGACATCTAAAGAGCCGTGGGAAACAATGGGCTTCTCAGAGAAATAACAAGCCCCTTACCAAAATAACAAGATGCAGCAGCACCAGGTGGGTAGTAGGCCCCAAGACCAGGATGAGTTGGACAGAACTCCAAGGCCAGGATGAGCTGACCAGACCCACCTGGAATGTCCAGTTCGATAAGGAAAGGGACAGACAGGTGGTCAGATTAATGAGAAGTTGACTGGGCACCAACCAAACACATAATTTCAAGGTAGAATTGTTGGGCCTAAGCCAGGCAGTGCCCTGTATCATCTCCTAGACTTCGGCCTTTCTTTGGCTTAGCTCTTCTACTAAGTCCCACCCGTCACGTGCTTTGCTATCCTTCTAATAAACTTTGTGCTCGCTTTAATTCTTAGCTCCTGGCCCGGTGTCTTCAATCATCCACCTATGCCAGGACACAAACTCGGGAACAACACTCCAGTATCAGTAAAATTGCTAAGAGTTTTGATGGTGGTGGCAGAGCATCATACAGAACATAACCGCATGGGCCGCACAGCCCTGCAACACAGGTCAGCTCTGCTCTGTAGAAATTAGGGATAGGTGATACCTGACTTTCTAATAAAAAACAAAACAGCTGGGCACTAGTGGCTCATGCCAGTAATCCTACCCACTCAGGAGGCAGAGATCAGAAAGATTGAAGTTCCAAGCCAGCCCGGGCAAATAGTTTTTGAGACCCCATTTCAAACATACCCAACACAAAAAAGGACTGGTGGACTGGCTCAGGTGGTAGAGTGCCTGTCTTGCAAAATGTGAGCCCCACAGTTCAAGCCCCAGTATCTCAAAAAGCAAACAAAACAAAACAAAGAAACCTGGTATCTGGGCGTTGGTGTAAATTCTGTCTTTTTAGAGCTTGGTAAATATTGCAAGCATGACTTTAAACACTGGTGATTTTAAACACCAAGGATGTTTGTGGTTAGATGTGAGTCATGGGCCACCAAAGGGTGCCTTAGGAGGGGTGTGCCTGGGCAGAGCAGCTGCAGCTTGACCTGGTGAGAATTCAGGTTGAAGTGTCTTGGATTCCCAGGCAGCTCTGCAGGAGAGGGCAGGGGACTGAAGGGGGGGTGGCACAGCCAGGGACAAGTGGGGCTCATATATAGATATTGGACTTTCCATCTGGAAGGTGAGCATAAAGGTAAACAAAGTAGGAAACAGAAGAGAGACCAAGTGAGTCAGGCTGGAGCCTAAAAGATAGGTATACATATATTTATAATGTTTATGTGTATGCACGTGAATAAAAATGGATATTTATATAACATATATTATTCTAGGGGGCAAATGTAATTTCAGATAGGGACCTATGAACTCTAATACATGACATTTCATAGTTGGTTTTGAAGGCTAAATGACTTTAATGTGGGTAACCAGGGCCTAGGGAGACCAGATAAACGCCTGTGTGCATAGTAAATCAATGATATGATTGGATTGTTTGTTTCTATATGGACCTCAGGAACTTCTGAGACATTCTGGGGAAAGTCCCCTGCCCCAGGCTGGGAGGGGGAGGGCTGCAGGAAAGATTTTACAGGTGACGCCACTTTTGCTTATTCTTTTCCACTTGGACAAATGTGCCCAGTGTGGTCAATTTACCGAATAAAGTGTTCTAATTACATCCGGTGTGCCAGGCGTGTGGGCATCTGGCGAGCCATCTGATGCCGTATGGTGCTAGTGTGCTTCCCACCAGCCTACCCCCCCAAGGCACCAGACGCTGTCACTGGTCATTAGTACTTTGGCCCTGAACCTGAAGGGCACCTGTGCGGCCTGGATGAGGCAGGGGCAGGGCACAAGGAGCTCTTACCCACAATCATGCCGACCTCACACTGGCGGTCCTCATAGTAGCAGGAGATCATCGTGGCCACAGTGTCATTCACCATTGCCACTACGTCCATCTCAAAGTCCTGCCAAGAAGTACAGAGGCCTCAGGGATGGAGGTGGGGAGAGGGTCCTGTGGTGTGGGGGTGGGGATGCAGGGCAGGCCACCAGGGCAGGCAAAGGTGTCCTCACCCCTCTCCGTTTGATGGCATCTCTCAGAAGCCCCACAATATTGTTCCCTTCTGCTCCAGAGGCCTTGAAGCCCTTGGTCCAGTTGAGGAGGATGCCCTGTGGGGAGAGGAAGACTGTGTGGTTGCTGGCCTTGGGCAGGGAGCTACAGCCCTAAACCAGCTGCTTCCTGAGCCACAGGCACATGTATCCTACTTTACAGTTGAAAGGTGCTAGGGACGATACCACAAATACATTTCTACAAGAGTGGGTTCCAGTCAGTTTAACAATCCAATGTGAATTTTTTCCTTTTTTTTTTTTCAGTGATCGGGATTGAACCCAGGGCCTCCAGCATGCTAGGCAAGTGCTCTAACACCAAGCTATATCCCACCCCAGCCCCATGCAGGCCAAGAATGTTGGATAGTAAAGCTCAGAGATATACCAGAGTACAGGTTGGTCATGTATAAGTGCTATATATTAGCTGGGTTCCTTTCCTATAATGTACCTTGCTGCAGAAAGAGGAACTCCTGGCCCTTCCTGTGTGTACAGGGGCTTGGAAAACCATTGCTCTGCCGGTCACTTTTGCCTTGAACAAATGACCTGGCTTTGTGTCTGACACAGAGGCCCCACATTTTATGTATGTACATGTATAGTGTGTGTGTGTACGTGTGTAGATGTAACTGGCAGGCTAACTTGCAAGCTTGCAGATGAGGTAGAATCTCAGTCTCTTCATACTTGTGACTCAGCCACAGGTGTCATGGTGGTTTGTGGCAAGCTAGAACCCCACTCAACAGCTAGCTGTCACTTCCCACCATGGGCAAGTTGCTTAGCCTGTCTCCTCTCTCATCTGTAGTGGGGTGATGGTATTACACAACTCCCGGCCCTGGGAGGCTTTGCCACATGGTAAGAATCAGCTGATAACATGCTTATTTTCCAAAGCTTCAGATAGGAAGTGACAGGTCACAATTTGAATCTCCCTCTTTTCCCTTCTGAGTATGTGCTCTTTCCCAGCATGGGGTGAGAAAGAGGCTGCATTTGAAGGCAGCGTGAGACATAGTTCCTCTGGGGTACATATCTACCCAGTCATCCACCCTCCCCTCTGCCTGGCCCACCTTATCGATGTCCTCATGCCTCACAGGAAAGGAAAAGGTGAAGCCCAGGGGTAGTTTCTTGTGCTTCATCTGATGCTTATCCAGGAAGTCGGAGATGCATTCAGAGATATAGTCGAAGAGCTAGGAGATGCACCAAAGTGGCCATTGAGCCAGGGCTGGACCAGCTACCACCCTCCCTGCGGCCTAGGCCAATGTGTTCCTTGGGGGTCCTAAGACATCAGGACCTAGAACCTGCCACTGGATGCCAGGCCTGTCTGCAGTTCCCCTCTTGCTGTTTGTAGGGGTCTCTGTGCCTGCTCAGACGCAGAGCTCTACAGATTGAAGCCATTAGGGCACGATGACTGGTGTGCTCAGCCTAGACCCCCTCCTCCTGCTGTACTCAGTGAGGTCCATCCTCAGGCCTGAATGTCATGTGAGACTCTGGGTGGAGGCACAGTCCTGGTCATAATGATGATTTCTGTCTCTTTTTCTACTTCCAGGTATTCTGGCCACATGACCCCTGATTGGCCACCAGCCCCAATCTCCCTCAAGTGGGCCTGTCCACAGGACTGGGCATTGCTGAGTTCTGCAAATGGACCAGGCAAGTGTCCCTGCCATCCCTGTTGCCTCAAGTCATACCCACTCCCATGGACAGATAGCAAGCTGAACTTGTACTGAGGGCTAGGCAGCCATAGGCAGCCTCTTCCTCTGGGAAATGGCCTCACCTTATGTCTGTAGCTTTGATTTTGCCCACCTTTCCTCAGGGATTGATCTATTGCTCAGGGAGACTTGCTTCCTGGGCAGACATTGTGGCTATTGTCATCCCTCTTGGCATGTGCCAGTTGGAGGGCAAAGTGTGGCCTGTGGGGAGGGATGTACTTCAGCCGCTACAGGAGGCTGGACAAGAATTTTTTCCAGCTGCCAAGTCCTTACATTTTGGCTTTCTCTCTGGGAAATTGGACTGGGTGCCACTGGCTGGCACTTCACCTGCCATTAACTCTTCTTCACCTCCTCCTGTCCCCAACACTGGACTGGCCACACAGTGATTGTGAGACTTGGAACATGTTAGCCATGCCCAGTGGCTGTCCACTTAGCTCTCTGAGCTGCCTTCCTGGGCCTCTGAGGCTAGGTGGCCCTTCTGCCCACAGCTGCCTCTGTCCTTGGTGGATGGGTGGGCCCTCCTGCCAGTACTAACCTAATCCTTGGCCCCACCCCCAGCTATCACTTCCAGTCCCCCAAGAAGCTCACCATCTCCGCAGTCCCTGTCATGGCGTCCTCAGGGATGGAGTACATTTGGTGTTTGGTCTTCACACTCCACTGCCCTGCCTCCCCCTCCCCCACCTTCACCAGCATCACCCTGAAGTTGGTGCCGCCCAGATCCAGGGAGAGGAAGTCTCCGACTTCTGCAGGCAAAGGGAGACATGCTCAGCCTCATGACACCTCTGGGTTGAGTGGAGCCCAGGAAGCTGACCATGGAACAAGGGAGAGGAAGAGGGCAAGAGGGGGCCTTCAGGGGAGCTAGATGAGGGGCTGTCAGTCCAGACACTATGGGGAGGGGGACAACACACTAAAGCAAGCTATGGGAGGGGTCAGAGGTGAACTGGGGATGTCAATGGAAAACCCCTGCCTCAGATGAAGGCAGGCAGAGCCCAGGGAGCCTCTGAGGACACAGGGTAAGGGCCCAGATTCATGATAGTACTGGGATCCCCCAAGTGACGACAGAGAAGTCTTTCATTGTGAGACAAAAAAGCCAGTTTTCCTGAGGTTTTATAGCTTCAGGCTGGGCTTTAGCACCCCAAGGCTGGACCTGCAGAGCCAAGGGCAAGAATCCTTGTGAGTTGGGGATGCCATTGCTCATCTAGGTGGCCCTGTTTGGGGGCAGTTGAGCCTCTGGAAGGGCCTGGCCAACAGCTGGCTCAGATGAGGGGCCATCCCTGAGGTACCTGAGCCTTCAGGGGTGGAACGCACGTAGGTGGGCAGCATCTTCACACTGGCCTCCTCGTGAGTCTCCAGCCTCAGGCCACGGTCCATCTCCTTCTGCATCCGCCTCATCACCTTCTTCAGGTCCTCCTCCTGCAGCTGGAACTCTGCCAGGATCTGTTCCACCTGCACAGGGAGAGGATGAGAGCACCTGAGTGGGGCTGTCACCAGCAGACTCCGCACACCAAGGATCTTCTTTTGTCTTCTGACCCCAAGCCCAGGATGACACACCAAGTCAAAGAGTTCCAAGACCAGTCCTTCAACAATTAGCTTGAGGTGTTGGAGAGGCAAGCGTTAGGGAGCAGGGTGGTTTTGCTCCCTGAAGCTATCCTGGTGACAGTGACTTCTCTGTGGTCACTTGGAGGACCCCAGTGCTGTCCTGAATCTGGGCCATTACCCTAAGTCCTCAGTGGCTCCCTGGTGGTTGTTCAATACCTTGTAGCACCTCTCTTGGCCCCTCAGATTGGGAGCAAGGGGAGGAGGAGGGCTCTAAGTGAAGGTGAGATAGGGTTGGAGCCTGTTGGGGGAATGGGTAGCTGACATTACTTGCATAAAGAGCCAGTCATTTTACTTCCAGGGCACTGTGAAATATATTGGCCAAGGCCAGGCTAGTGGGAGTAACCACAGTGTCCATCAGGGATCTGGCTAGCTAGCAAAGGATGGCCATCCACAGTGTGCAGGCTCTGAGCCAGAGGAAGGAAGGTCACTGTTGATGTGACTGGCCTGTACACGTGCAGCTCAGATTCAACAGTGCCATTCCCATGAGTGTGGGCAGCCAAGGTGTGGCCATTCACCCTCCACATGGTGGTGGAAAGACAGGACATGAATGCAGTTACGGCTTTGTTCTTGTGTCCCCAATAAGCTGGACCCTGCAGGTGGGCAGCTGTGTCTTTCCCCTTTGCACAGTTGTGCATATTTGTAGAGAAAAGGCTGTGTTGATACACTGGTTATCTCTGGGTAGTGGTAAGAAAAAATAATCACAAAGATATTTTCATTTTGAACAAAAAGGGAAAGGAAACACAGTCCGATAAAAGTTGTGGATCCACTCTTTATAAGAACATGCACTCTTTTTGTCTTATACATAAGCTCAGGGGCTGAAGAAGCTCTGAATTATAGTCAGGAGGCAAACAGTCACTTGCCCCTTCTTCCTCAGTTGTAAGGACCCAGATTTTGCAGGGGACAAGGTATCCCATCAAACCATGGTTAGGCTTTGCCAAGCACAGCAATTCCATCCTATTTTGTTGGCGATTGGACATGTGACCCACTTCTGGTCAATGACAGTTAAAGGGAAGCCTGATTTTGCCCTCCTAAATTTGTGATTACATCCATGTAAGGATGTGGTGACTGACATTGTACCTGCCATCTTGCGATCATAAGGAGACAAGGCTGGAGGGAAAGGACTGCAAGCATACTATAGATGGCAGAGAAGAGAGATTGATGGCAGACCTGCCCAACACCATGTGCTGGTTGTGGAGCAAGTAATAGCCTCTTTTTTTTTTTTTTTGATTAATGGTACTGGGATTTAAACTCTGTGCCTTGTGCTTGCTAGGCAGGCCCTCTACCACTTGGGCTACTCTGCCAGTCCTTCTCGTGTGGCTTATTTTTGAGATAGGGTCTCCCTTTATGCCTGGGCTAGCTTGGACCATGATCCTCCTATTTGTACCTCCCACTCTAGCTGGGGATGACAGGTGTGTGCCACTGTGCCCAGCCATTGTTTGAAATGGGATCTGACGGACTTTTTGCCTGGAATGGCCTCAAAGTACGATCCTCCTAATCTCTGCCTCCTAAGTAGCTGGGATTACAGGCTTGAGCTGTGAGAATCAACTAAAGTCAGGTCTTTTCTGTCAAAGGAGTTAATGTATAACTATCATTGTGTAGATGCCCTCTAACCTCCCTGAATTGCTGCCTATATGCTTTGTGAAATGCTGCTTGATCTTGCAAGGTTCTTGTGGTCAGACAAAGAGCTATTTGTCACCACATGTCCTAATCTCAAACTGCTAGCTTAAAGATGAATATTGCTTAAAAGAATTTTCTTGTTCTCCCTGCTTCAAGGTCCCCCTTACCCTACATGCCCCCTTTTCTAAGTAACCAATTGCAAAGATTGTGAACCCAAACCCATCCATCAGGGTGAGGGGCAAAGAGAGATAAAAATTGAGCTGACTGCTCACTCAGTATGTTCTGCCTATCAGACTCAGGTTTGTGGTTACACCCTTCTGCAGAAGTAAAACTTTTTTTTGCCTTGCTGAGAGACTCTGAGTGTCTCTTTGATCACTGTTTGGGAATGGCATTTCTAACAGAGCCACTGTGCCCCACCCAATAACTACTTTTCTTAAATAGACCCCACACTTCAAATTTAAACCCAGGAAAGTCAGAACAGAATGGGGCTGACAAGGGGCTCTGACAAAAGGCACAGAATCAAAACCCTCATTGTCTAAGTAGGTGGTGTTCTGCTGCTCTGGGCGTGGGGTAGGAGTGCAACTCCCTCACCTCACCCCCCCCACCCCATCCCTGACTGGCTCTGTTGGGGGTGCCCCTCTAGACATCCTCAGTGTTTTGTGAAACAATTCAGGCTGTCCTCAACAATCCAGGATGACCCCAAAGCAACATCCTTTGCCCTTTTTTTTCTTACACATGCAAATATAGAATTTGCCAGGAACTAGCAGTAGTGACATTTAACATTTGCTGAATTGAATTCCTGCAACTTTCCAGGCGAAGCTGAGTGCAGGGACGAGGGGCCAGCTATCTTTCCACCATCTTCTAGATGGAGAAAGGCTTACAGAAGTTCCGTGCAGGCACACACAGCCAGCATGCCACAATGCCAACGCCACCCACATGGTGCCACTGGCAGGAAGACCTTACCAGCCTGCTGGACTTCTCCCCTGAGACACAATGTTTAGAGAGACTCTATTTATTATAAGATACCAGTGGACTTTTAACACAAGCAGTGCTGATCTTGCAAGGGTCTGGCCCTGATGGGCTCCATTCCTGCCCCTCCATCCTGATAGCCTCTTCTGGCAGCTGGGAGACTGGACTCTGACCTTCAGCCTGAGGCTCTTCATGAGAAGAGTGGACACATTAGACTGAGGTCTCGGGAGGGTGGGGGAGGAGGGACTGGTTATAGAGTGTGGCTATATTGTCAGATAGATGAGAGTTTCAATAGCAGCTATCTCTGCCTGGCAGGAATGAAGCAAGAACTTGCCCAGCACTTGGAGGGTCCCAGTGAAAAGGTGACAAATGGTGGCAGCTGTTTCTGTTATCACAGGTATGGTGGGGCTGGCAAAGCCCATAGAGTGTGGGAGAGGCCCAAGTTTTTACCTTCTGTACCCAGGTGATGGGGATACTGCCAGTGGCTGGGGAAAGCCCCAGCTCTGAGTGAAGCTTCTAGGCCAGAGTGCCAGCTGAGGATCTGGGCATTGCATGAAGGCAAATTGATACCAGCTGTCTGGAGAACAATTTGGAGTTTCTATTAAAATTTAATTTTGATCTAGTAACTTCTGAGAATCTATTCTGAGACAGATTCTTGTAAGCACATCCCAGGAAGCACATGGGGTCATCCCCTATAGTGGCAGAAAAATCCCTGCCCCCCCCCAAAAAAAAAATCTGTCAGCCACCATCAGGGACCTCATATCAACCTAACACCTGCCACAGGGCCTTCTGTGGCCTTCACAGGGAAGGAGGGAGAGCCCCACAGCCTATCTGGGTGTCAGTGAGGAAGTGAGATAGGACCTCAGCAGAGCCCAAACCTGTTCCCAAATAAATAAATATCTGGCCTGGGTAAAAAAAAAAAATCTGGCCTGTGGATCTGATTTGTTCTCTACAACAAGATCAAAAGCTTAGATTTGTTGCCAACATTTAAAATCCATTTAAAGTAGGCATCTTATTACAGAAAAATCTGAATTTTTTGACTGTATATCTATCAAACTAGTTTTGAATTCTTACTGGGGCTGTAAGGAGATGGGTTTGCAAGTTGGGAAGCCTGTCCCCTTCCCCAGTAGTGAAACTGGCCCAAGTCACCTGGTCACAGGACCCCATGCTGAGCCCTGCCCAAACCAGGCACTGCAGAGTTCCTTTGTCCCCATCCACACTGCAGGGGTCCCAGAGACTCCTTCACACACCTCCTTATGTCCACTCTCCATTCCTTCCTGCAGGTTGGAGGGCAGGTTCTGGAAGATTTGGAGGCCACAGTCACCTGGGGGCTCAACTCTCCTCAAAGGCAAGCCTCAAGCCTCCCTTGGGAGGATGCAGGTCCTTTCCCCAGGGTGCCCTGGACCTGGAAATGCCCATCCTCCTGGCACTGGGTCAGTGTGTAGCCCAGAGGGGGCTCCAACCTGGCGTGGCCTCACGACCCTCAAGGCTGTGGGCATGGGAAGAGAAGAAAGGGCATCGTGGTCTGCCTTACACCCTCCCTGGGATGTTCTCAGCACTGTAGGCTGGCCTACTCTGGGCACCCCTGGGATCTTCCCCACTATTCCTTAATCACCCTGAGACCCAGGCACTTTGATTATCTCCATTTGTATGTACACATACACATAAACCCTTCCCCAAGACAACAGAGATGGGAGTGCAGAGCTGGGGTTTGAACCCAGGCACCAGCTATGAGACTGCACCCACCCCGCTAGGACCTGCCTCCTGTGCTTCCCTGAACCCAGGCCCAGGCTATGCAGGTCTCTTGATGAGACTAGCACCGTGTGTCTGTACATGTTTATGGGACTTTCCTGAGCAGGTTACGAAAGGAGGGTGCTGCCTGGGGAACCAAGAGATGCCATCCAGTACCTCAGGTATAGCCTGGAGAGAGAGGCACAGACAGAGCCTGCCCTTGCCTGGGAGCCTGCCAGTTTACAAGGCTGACCATGCCTGAGAGGTCACAGGACACAGAATTAAGGTCCACCACCACAGCAAGCACAGGACTTTTCCTACCTCAGGTCTCCCCACTTTGCCAGCAGGGCATCTCACAATCTCTCCAGCAGATACCCACTGCATGCCCAGTGCTGTGTGGTGTGTGGTAGCCCAGAGAGGAGCCAAGAGCACACAGACTGCTCATGGGGGGGCACGGGAAAGAATCACGTGACACCGGGGGCAGGTGGGTGGGAGGAGATGAAGCAGGGAAGGGAGGTTAGCAGCTGATGTTTCCTAGGACCAGGCAGGGGACTTGCACTGAGGTGAGAAGGAAGTGACTGTGACAACTGTGAAGAGGTGGGGCTGGGGTGAGAGTGGCTGTAGAGTGGGCAAGTGAAAGCTGGGGCATCAGGCTGTCCCCACAATCTGGGTGCGGGGACAGTGGCTACAGGGTGGAGAGGTGGTGAGTGTCTACAGAGCAAATGTACTTGCTGACAGTTTGAGGCTTGAGTGAGAAGAGAAGCAAGTGGGAGGGTGCCACGGGTTTGCTTAAGTGGCTGGAAGGAGAGGCTCTGCTGGGGTTGGGCATGTAGGGGAATCAAGGCTTGCTAACCATTTGCTTGCCCAGGGGACATTTGTCCCAAGTGAAGTCAGAGTTCAGAGGAACATCTGGCTGGAAACGTACATTTGGAAGTCCTCAATATGGAGATGTCCTTAATGCCACAGTCCTGCATGCTGTCACTGGGGTGTCTAGGGTAGACAGCAAACTGGGAGGGGTGGATGTAAAGAGCAGGTTTTGAGATCCCACCCCAGAACACAGTAAAAAGCACTGGGAGGATAGCCTAGGGACACTGTGGACCCCAGAGGACCAGGCCAATGGCAAGGGCTGCTCTTGGACAATGCTGAACTCCTGGCCTTCAGAGCCAGTCCCAGTACTAAGCCTGGCCCCCTCTGCTCTCAGGTCCTGGAACAGCTGTGAAAAAGCATGAAGTGACCCTAGTATGGCCACCCACATACTCTTAAGAGGAGAGTCCCAACCCCCTTCCCCCAAACTGCCACAAGGATCCCCTAAGAGTCAGACAGCAGTGGGAGAAGCCTTAGGCCAAGCATTGACAGCCCAGAAGCAAGTTCCCTAAGCTTCCTCCAGAGGTAGACCATGGTAGCCCCAGTGAGGGGGGGAGTGGGAAGAGGGGCTACATCCAGGACCCCTAGAGACTTGCATGACTCCGCCAAGGGGTCCAGTGCCTGGCTGCCCTGCCTACAACTTGGATGCTACAAAACCAAAGATGCTGGCCTAGGGGCTGCGCCCCAATCCTGAGCCCTTACCAGAGTCAAGGCTGTCTGGTCTCGGTTCTTTGTGGGGTCCGTTGCCATCTTTCTGAGAGACCGAGAGGGAGCACTTGGGAGGTAGAGATGCTCTTGCTGCTTAGGCCTGGAACTGTGGCCTCTGAGGCCACCTGTGGCAAGTGAGGACTGCTTGACTAAGAGTTGCCCAAGGCAGGTGGCCCAGGGTTTCTGCCCTAAAGGGCCCAGGGAGCAGCTGCTGAAATACTCTTCCTTGGCACAGGGGCAGGGTCGGAAGGGCAAAGGAGGCCGACATGGGGTCAGGGTTGACAAGGGCCATGGGACAGGGCTACAAGCCAAGCCACCACATCCTCTGGCCATCGTGGTTGAGAGGGTTGGAGCCAGTCTGTCCATCCTCTATCCCTGCACTTGTGAAGGAGGGGTGTCACCAAACTGTCTGTGGGGCGGGAGGATCAGCCAGGTAGGGGTGGGCCAAGATCAGGAAAGACCTCCTCTGGACCAAGGAGGGATTGGACTTGCTCTTGGAAGAGATGGGAACCCCATGGACTTTCATCTGTGGAATGGTCAGATGTGTACTTCACACAGTCCTGGGTTCTACATGGTGCTTGGGAAGGAAGGGGCAGGCTGGTGGTAGGAAGACCAAAGTTGTTGCAGAGAATATGTCTCATACTATGGTGGGGTACAGGAGGGGACACTGTGTACCCACAAGCAGAAGCAGGTTTGGGTCCTGAGGGCTTCCTTGATTTATCCATCAGGACTCTTCATTCAATAATAGACCCTCTTCAAATTGCCTTGAACCAAGACAATAAGTAATAAAGTGGGAAGATCATTAGGTTTTGTACTGCAAAACTCAGGTCCAGGGCTTGCTTTTTGGTCATCCCCCACCAGACCCTTCCTTAGGCTCCCCAAGGAGTAACCCCAATATATTCTGCACTTGCCAGCACCTGCCATGCCTTGCTAAAATTAGCAACAACCTGCAGGCAAGTGGGTCAGAGTACAGAGGGTGCCTTGTTAGAATGCCAGACTCCCTGGCCAGTGTGGTCACCCCTTGACACGATTGATCCCTTTCCCAAAATAGAGCAAAGATGGCCTCACCAGATCTCATGTGACTAGTCACTGACCACCCAGCCCCTGGCTCTGAGCCTTTGTTTGCTGTGGGGGCAGGGCTCATGTCTGAGTTTGGAGTGGCTGGTCTACTGGACTTGCCCTGCCAAGGAGCAGAGAACCAAGGATCTTGCTCTTCTCCTGAGCCAAGCCACACATAGGTAAGGAGGGCCCAGATCCTCCAGCTTTGGTCTCTGGGAAGTGGGAATGGATTGTTGAGCAAGGCAGGGTCAGAGGCAAGCCAGCCCCCTTTCTGGTTTGGCTGGACTGTTTGTACTTTGACCAACATACATCCTTCTCTAGAGCCCTTTCCTGAGGACAACCTCCTCTCATTTGCCAGCACCTGTGAGGGGCAGAAAGTGGCCCAGATTCTCATATTGACTAAGCCTCCAAGACCAAATTCTAGTAGCACCCTGTCCTGCCTCAATAGCCAGGGAGTGACACCCACGGGCAGAGCCATGCTGAATGAAGTATGGGCAGTGCAGGAGGGAGTGGTTCCACACTGGAGGAGCCTGTTCAGGGAAGAGGGGACTAGAAGGGAAAGTGCCTTAGGGACAATGACTCATGAGGGATGACCAGAGATACTTAAGAGTCTTCAGTATCTCAAGGGCTGTTTGAAGAATGTGGCTGAATATTGTTTCTAACTTGCTTAAAAAAAAAGAAAGCCAAACCCCAAGCTTTGCAACAGTGGACAAGGATATCTCAGTAGACAAGCTCATTGCATGATTTTTTTGAGACAGGGTCTCACCATGTAGCCCAGGTTGACCTCAAACTCATGATCCTCCTCAGCCAGGTGCTGGGATTCCAGGGATGTACCACTACCTCAGGCTGTGAACCAATGCCCTTTTTAATGGGGAGAAAAAGAGAAGAGAGTATTGGAAGGGACTCTGTTCTATGTCCTGGTTGGTATCCCCTGTCTCTCATTGTTCAACAAGCTGACTCACAGGCATCATTTGATTTTTTTTCATTTATCTCAAGTAACTGATATAACAGGATTAGTGATGGATATTCAAGATAATTCATTCTAACATCAAAAAAATAGGACACATCTATATCCAACTACAAGGGCTTGGTTAAATAAATTACACATATGTATATGTAGACATTAAAAATGGTAAGGTTGATCTTTCGCGTTGGCATGGAAACATGTCCATATCATGCTGTTTAAAGGGAATGTGCCTGCCACCCTCCAGTGACTCTCCGTGGAGTCCTGTCTCTCCCCTCCTGTAGAGGTCTAGCCTAGGTAACTGACACAGAAATGATGGAATGTGACTTTGGAGGCTAGGCTTCTGTCTTTCTCTGTCTTGGTTGTTTTAATTCTTTAAGTCTTGAAGTTTTTTTTTTTTTTCACATAGCAACAAATGACTAACATAGGGAAAGTAGTTAGAAAACATAGTGTGATCCATTTTTGTCATAGATATGTGTAGATGATACAGATAATATACACATGGGAAGATATATAGCAAAATGTTAACCATACTTATCTTGATGGTGGAAATAAGAGTGATTTTAATTAATTTTCCTTTTTTGCTTATCTGTATTTCTTACATTATCCTGTAATGAATGTTATTAATGGAGTAATATTAGAAAGCCAAGTTAAAAAGCACCAGAAAGGTTCGGCTCTATCTACTGTTTTTGTGCAGAAGCTCTAAGACCTATGTCAGTGGGAAAGAAAGTGAGGCCCAGGAGTCAGGGATCCCACAATGGCAGCCTCTCTTCCTACTGGCCTGTTCCCTGAGTGCCCTCACTACCCCCCACCCCTGGCACCAGCTGGGCATCAAATACAAGTACACTGATGCAACAGAGCCTGGAGGTTAGCAAGTGTTGCAAGTGTTTGCTCACTGCAGGACAGACTGGAAATTGGCTGGGCCTTTGTGCTAAGAGGCAGGTCAGGGGCCTGGTGAGTGGGAGGATATCAGGCAGTGGGTAGTGGTTTGTGGTCAGGATGTCAGGGATAGAAAGGAGGGGGACCTGGGCCAACAGAGAATGCCAGGATCAAATGCCACAGCTAGTGTGTGATTAGTGATTTCCACACTCCAGAGGCTGTGACAGACCCTAGACAAGGATTACAGTGGTCTTGTGTGCTATGGGGAGACTGATGCACCTGCCACAGGGGCCTTGGCTAGGATTCATGCCCAGGTCATCACGACTCCAGGTTCTTAAGAGTTTATTCTTCTTGACTAGACAGGGTACTTTCCAGGGCCAAGTACATGCTGGGGTCAGAAATCATCTTTGGAGCTGCTTTGGTGATGGAGATGTCTGGAGGCTTGAGGCTTCAGGTCCAACTGGCAGTGGTGGGACACAGTAGTCACAGAGTCTGCTCTGCCCCTGCACTTGTCTCTGACTGCAGATGGGGCTGGAGGTCTGGGGCTGTCGTCAGGGGCAAAGCCTAAAAGCCACCGCCATGTTGGGGAATAAGGGTGTGGTGCTGGTGAGGGACAGGAAGCAGTCCTGTGCATTGGCTGGGGTGGGGTATGTGGCAGGAGATCATCCAAAACCCCACGTAGTGAGGCAACACCTGGGTGATACAGGAGCATGAGGTCCCCAGCTGGAATCTAAAGACTGATTCTGTCCCTCACTGGCTCTTACCTGGGTAAGTCCCTTGATGTTTCTAGGCCTTGGTTTTTATCATTATCATAACATACCAAAGGATGTCCTAGCCTGTGGACCAGAGTTGAGGACACAGACCATCCCAAGTTGATCAAACTCCCACCCAGTGCTACTGATTATTTCAGAAGGTTCTAAGGAGACAGACCAGGTGGCACAGCCACTCTGATGCTAGTCTTACACTAAATCAACAAAGCTTTTGTTTGAAAAGACAATGACTAGGAGGTGACATTATGGAAAATGGCAGAATAGAACCTTCCAGGGGTTGGTCCCTCCACCTAAACAATCATTCAGTTAGGAAAAACAAACAACAAACAAAAACCTTTAAGAACCAATGATTTTAGAACTCTGGAACCTAATTGGACCCATTAGCAATCACAGGAGTACCTGAAGAAGGGAGAGGCATAGGCAAATCATTTAGTGTCCCACCAGCTGAGGACAGTGTCTGTGTTCCTAGAGCAGCTAGATGGAGCAAGAGTTGGCAGAAGGGACCGTTTTTTTTCTACAAATTTGGAGTTGTGCATTTTGGTTTATCTGGTATTTTCCTGAGGGCCCAGGGTCAGCTTGCCTTTGCTTTTGCCACTTCAGGCTGCAGTAGCTTTCCTGGTGGATCTATCAGAAGATTTAGAGAGGTACACATGCTGAGTTTTTGTTTGTTTGTTTGTCTTTTGACATACACTTTAAGGAATTCTTTTTAAGGGCACAGGCTGACTACAGTGACATGAGACCAGAATTATCAGTGGCCACTGAACAGAATACAAACTTTGCATAAATGGTCTGGAAAAAATCACTTTACAAATGGACATCTGCAGCCCTCAACAAGCAACAAGAGAGCAGGAATGGCTCAAGTGGTAGAGTGCCTGCCTAGCAAGTGTGAGGCCCTGAGTTCAAATCCCAGTACTGCCAAAGGAAAAAAAAAGAGGTAACAAGCAACAAAAGAGGGGAATCTGACTTTCAGAGGCACCATCTTGCATTATTCACCATCTTGTATTATTCAGTCTTCAACAAAATATTATAAATTATGCAAAATAAAAAAAATGGCCAAATCACCAGAACAGAGAATTCAAAGAAATTACTCCTAAGGAAGCCCAGACACCAGAATTACTAGTAATAGACATGAAACCAACTGTCTTAAATATATTTAATGAGCTAAGGGAAATAACAGAGAAAGAATTAGTGGTAATTGGGAGAACAGTGTATGAGCAGATAGGTAACAATAATGGAAAGATTGAAATTGTTTTTTTTAAAAAACAAAAAGGAACCAAATAGAGATTACAGAGCCTACAAGTACAGAAGGTAAAGTGAAAATGTTCAATGTTCACTTCCATGGCAGATGGAATAGAAGCCAATGGCAGATG